CTGTGTTAAAGGCAAGTTGGTGTAAATCATATTTTTAAAAATAGATAATAGATTTTTATTCTCTCTAACTTTAATCTTACTTGTGGAACATTTCTAAAGCTATTTCAAACTTAATCCTGAACTCTTGTATTCAAGACTTTATCTTGAAACCTATGCCAAAAGACTTAGCTAATAATCAGAGTACTAGTCTCCAGCCAAAGAGTACATCACTGCAAATAAAGATAAGATTTCAAGAGCACTAAAAATATCCCCATCTTTTCTCTACATGTTTAGCACTTACATAGCCCTTCTTTGTTTCGGGCACTACTTATTGCACTGTGGAAGGTACTAACTCATTTAATGCTCTGTGAGGTAGGTATTATTGTTACATTTTAAAGATGCAGAATGTGTGGCACAGAGAAGTAAATGACTTGCTCAAGGTCACACAGGCAGGAAGTGAAAAAAGGGCTAGGAACCCAACAGTTTGCCTGCAGAGTCTGTGCCATGTTGTGCCTACCTTTGGGACTCTGTCTTTGACACTTAATCTCAAATAAAAACAAAGATATGTGCACAAAGTTAATAGTTGGCATTACTTATACCACAACTGGTTCTGGTCTAAGTGGTAAGAATTTGATAAAGCAACTGCCGTACATAAATTATTGTGCATCTTCTTAAAATGACTTTTGCAGAGTTTTTAATGGGATAGTAAAATAATGAAGAGATCTTATGAGAGAAGTCGATACAAAATTGTAAAAATGACTATGTTTAAAACTAAATAGAAAGAGTATGGAAGGGAAAGTGGGCTGCCACTTGGGGCTGGGGTGCAGTGACATGAGCTTTCTTTTTTCCTTTTCTTTCTGACATATATACTTTCTAGTTTGCTCAGAAACATTTGTTTTCTAGTTGGAGAAAATTTGTCTTAAGGAAAAATAAAAGTTCAGAACACAGCCCTACATGCAGTACTGCATTTCTCAACCTTTAAAAAGGGCACCACCGACCAAGTGAAGTGGGGGTGGAGGGAAGACCTGAGAGCTCTCAAGAGAGAGAAAGCGCCTCACAGGCAGTTGAATTTTTTAATGTTAAAATAGGCCCACAGCTGCAATGTTTGCTCCTAAGAATAGCACCAAAACAACCTTCAGACTTAATCAGCAACAAGAGTGAAAAACGCCTCAGGGACCCAGTGGCTGAAGCATGTGGCCTTTATCCCAAGCCTCTGTGGGCCCTTTTGTGGCTCCTGGTCCTTCTCTGGCTGTGCTCTTTCTTTTCTTCCTGTTGCACTTCTTTCTTTTTTGTTCTTACTGTGGGGCATCAGGTTGAATGTGGTCCTGGATCCTCAGTTTCAGAATTACAAAGACAAGACAAAGTCGCTGACCCCAGTGGCTGTCACTGGCTCTCTACATTCACTAGACACGAAATGGAATGGTCGAGTGATACCTGAAAATGTTCAGTAACATAGCTCCCATTCTCCTTTGTGATAAAGTAACTGCCATTTACTCAGATTCCTTTCTTAAATTGAGGGGAGTAACATCTCCCATTTCTCTAGCATCTGATATGCAGGGCCTAATTTTGTAGCCACCACCCTGGGAGAATATTGAGGTGGGGGAGGAGAAAGAGGAACCAGCAGATTTGGGACTTGTTGGCTCTTGGTTCTGTGCACTTGGATAATAGTCCTACGCCCATGGCTCTCGGGCCCAGCTGCCTACTAGAAGAAGCAGCTGGTGCCCAGACCAATTAGCTGAGCATATCCAGGGGTGTAGTCTTGGCCCTGGCTGTTTCCAGAGCTTCCCAAGTGATTCTAATGTGCAGCTGGGTAGAAACCAGTGCCGGACTGCGGTAAAGGAGAGGATGCCACCTGAGTCATATGTGACTCATTTATAGCCAGGCAAAGTGCCTCTTCTTCCTCTTCAGGTGACTTGTGCCTAAAATAATCAACATCATTAAATCTAATATGAGTGGAAGCTGGGGAATTGTTTTAAAGAAAGGATGTCACCAAACACTTTTTCTTTCCTCCCCATAAAGAGCAACTGAGAAGAAGGATATTTTGTAGAACCAGGCCTGGCCCTGCACAAAGGAACAAAAGGGAGACAGAAAAGAGAGGAGACAGACCTGGTCATCTGGGTGTTCAAAGGAGGACAGGGAAAGCCATTGAAGGAGCTATGGAAAAATGGGCAAATGGGTGACTGGACAAATAAATGAGTATGTAAAGTACATATTTTTGGAGAATATGGTCTTTAAAGTGAAATCTGAGGACAGTACGGCAGAGAAGAAAACAGGAACTGAGAGTGGGCAAGTGGCAGGCGGCCCTCATTGATTCTGTCCTGAGCGCCCACATGCTGGGCACTGTACTAGGCGCAGCAGACGGGTTTAATCCCAGGCTTGTGGGGCATGGGCGACATAACGGGGACAGTTGGGAATGTAAGTAGTGGGAGACAAAGCAGAGAGGGTCCATGAGGACCCTGTGGGGAGGCTGTGTCAAACATCATGCTGAGGAAGCCCACAACTCAGGCTCACCTCTGGAAGGGAGGGTGTAGTCAGTGAAGAGTAAAACCTTGGGGATGGGGCGGAGGAAGGACACTTGGCCCAGTGTTGTTTAGACACTGACAGCTTAGATGTCTGCATGCCTGGGTCAGCTGCTGATCACCTCCTTTCCTTGAGTTGGGTCTGCTGTCACTTTCCTCTGAGAGGGAAAGGGCCAGTACAACTGGGTGAGCTGTTTTTCTATTTCTGCCTGTGGGTGGTTTTTAAGATTAAACCAGACAAAACCACACAAATGGGGCACACACTTGTAATCCTAGCTACTCAGGAGGCTGAAGTAGGAACATTACAACTTTGAGGCCAGCTTAGGCCCTGCATCAAAATTTTAAAAGCTTTTAAAAAGATCTGGAAAGCAACTCAGCACTCCCTGGATATAATCCCTAGAACTGTGAGGTAAATAAAAATAAACACACACCTGCTCCTGCCTCGTTGCCCTGAGCTGTGAGAGATAGCGAGTCAGTGCTCGTATTCAGATTTCAGTGATCCAAATTCTTCTTCAGGAGAAGTCTTCTATTAGAGATCCTCCCACCTTCTACTTTGGTCTTTCATAGTCCAGAGCCTACTCTTCATTCCCCATGCTGTAGGGAACCATACAAGGCATTTTCCATCACAGTTGGCGCCTCTCAACTTTCTTACTTACCAAAGACTGCAAACCCTTTGTACCTTGCTCAATTAAAATTCTCAAATGTCTTTACACTTTCAAGATTAGAGGCTAAAGCAAAAGCTAGATTTGATAGAGTTTACTCTTTAAGCTCCCAGTCCAGTCTTGATCTACCATGTGGCTACAGCAGCCTGGTGAGTGGGAGTGAGCCCAGACTCAGCAGACCCGGTAAAAGCCCTTTAGAGTCCCTAGAAGGACAGGTGCAAGACAGACAAGGACTTGATTTTTTTTCATGCAACGACTAAATGAGAAAACATGTTAAATGTAAAACCCTTAACCAAAGAACAAACACCTGAATTTAAAATTTAAACAAGGTTAAATTTAAACAAGCTTGAACACCTTATATTCTAGTCTGTGACCTTCAGAATCAACTTTTGCAGCATCTCCTGTTTGCCATAAACCTTAAATCTGTACGTATCTAATCCTTCAGCATTAAAATGCTTAAATTTTTGTTGACATTGGACAAAATCTGTGCTCCGAGAAAAGAGACCATGTTTATCAAGTGGCTTCAAGCACTTTTCTTGCCTCTAGGGCCCAGTGGTCCAGGAGCACAGGTCTGGTAGTAACACAAACATAATGGTCCTGGGGCCAGCCTGGCACAATGGCAGGTGCCTCAGGACTATGAATTCCCTTTTAGTTTTAGTTTTCCTTGTTGTTCAAAGGCCTTTCAATCTATAAGTGAAAGTTATAGTTAGCTGATCAAAAGGTAGACTCTTTAAAGAAAAAAGTTTAGCTATCATTACCATATGGGAAGAGAGACCACACTTCAAATCCAGCCTGAGATGTGGGGCTGCTCCTCAAGGAAGTCCCCAAAAGTGGCACTCAAATACTTTTATTCACAATAAGAAGGGACCAGTGTGTAAGCCAACTGTCTTCTACTGAGAAGAATGGGGTGCCTGGGGGGAAGATGCCTGTAGAAGGAGATGCCCAACATTTCATTGTGGCTGGGGCACACCCTGGAGGATCAGCAAGTGGAAACTCACTGCATGGCAGCAATCTGTGTTATCATGATTGAAACCAAAGAAATTCAGAGTGGTGACACTGGTGAGGCACCTCCTTGTGTGACCTTGCTTGTGGCTGTACTAACCCTCTAGTGGAGGTATTGTTGAATGTGAGGACACCAAGATTCCACTCCTACAGAGACAAGGTAGTTGTACTGGGCCCCCTCCCAGGATGTTCCCTGCGTACTTGGATATTTGGAGGACTAATTAAACTTGACGAAGAAGATAAAAAAGCTAAGAATATCCTGTCTTCAACTAATTTAGCACGTTGACTTTCTCTCATCAGAAATTCTTGACATATTACATTTGGCTTGAAAATAACCTGGATCTAGGACCGGAGATTTAGCTCGGTGGTGCCATCACCTGCCTTGCAAGTGTGAGGTCCTGAGTTCAATCCCTGGTACCAAAAAAAAAAAAAAAAAAAAAAAAAAAAAAAAATCGCAAGTGCAAGGACCCGAGTTCTTACCCCCGTAAAAAAAAAAAAAAAAAAAAAAAAAACTGGATCTGTATGAACTACCAAAGTGCAGTTCTTTGTCAGAAACACCTTTGCTACCTCTATTCCTCCCTATACAAGAATTAGCAGAGTAATAATTCACAGCACCTTTTATCCCTAGGGAATGAAGAAAATTGGTTTCCCTCCTCTCTGCAAGCAGTGCCTATGGCAGGGGAAGATGATCCTTTTACTCACAATTTGGTCTCCCAGAGCAAGGGGAGGGGCTCCTTTGGGCTTTTCTTGTGGGTTCTGGCTCCCTGTGCCTAAGCCCTCCCTGATCAGAGAAAAAGATCTTGTGTGGGGAGCATGCTGACATCCCTTTCTCCCCCAGCTGCCATTCTGGGTACGTCGGTGCACGCTGTGAGCACGCAGACCTCCTGGCCGTGGTGGCCGCCAGTCAGAAGAAACAGGCCATCACTGCCTTGGTGGTGGTCTCCATTGTGGCCCTGGCTGTCCTCATCATTGCATGTGTGCTGATACAGTGAGTATTTGCTGCCCCTCAGGTCAGATGCTCTTCCTGCCTGCCCCAGCAGGGACATCTGCAGCATGGCCACATACCATAGACACCTCAGCACGGCTGATTGCTGTGAAGTCTGAGTGATGTCAGCAAAGCTAAGAGAAACTTTGATGACTTTTGGCACAGTGTGGCAGCCAAGCTGTGTCAAATCCTAAAACATCCTGGACAGGTCGTCAGCAGTGGTCTGTGCACGACTAAAAGCCAGTATCAATGCAACGCGTGGTCTCTCTCTCCACACTTAGGCTTAGAGGCTTCAAAATAGTGATAAATAGACTGGTGCTCCCAAGGAGACTGAAAACGGCTCCCAGCCTCTTTTGGACAGTAGCAGAAGCACTTTTTCTCTGCAGAAGGAAATTTGCAAATTCTAAAGTAACATCAAAGACCGCGGCTGATGTTATTACAGGCTGACAAGCACCACTCTGCATGGACTTTCCTCTTTCTGTCCCACTCTGCCCCTCTTCATCCTCCAAAATCCAGCACCTGTGGTGTATCCTTCAGGAAGCTGTTCTGAGCCTCAGACCAAGAGAGACCTTCTCAGGAGTGTCTTAGCCCCATTTCCATCTTAACCCATATCTACCAATGCTCTGCAGTGTCAGAATACAGTGTTGTGTTCCTAGTACCTGGCACAAGACCAGATTTATTCCTTGGAAATATCTACACTCCAAGTCACAGAGCAAACTCGCAGAGGATTTATACCTAACTGGACAGGCATGAGGAATCCATAGGTCAGTTCAAGGCCAGCAGTCAGCTCAGTGCAGGTTGACTCACAGTAGAGACGATATGTGGATGGCTGCAGTGAGCAGTTATATGCTAACACAGGAAGCCAGGTTTTAGCTCTCTGGGGTTGTCTAGGTTCACAAGACAAATAAGGGACTCTGTCCTGTTGGTTTGTTGATCTACTGTTATTGGGACATCTAAAGAACGTGCCCCTGGTCTGACAAAAAATGAAGTGCACCTTACAGCCCTAGCTTGTAGCCGTAGCACAGCCTTCTCCCCTCCTCCTGGACCAAGCTAGTGCTAAGTGGAAAAGGATGAAGTCTGAACTGGGAGAACTTTTCCTTCCTCCCTAAATGGGTTCCTCAACTGGCAGGTACCTTGGGAAAGTGTGATTGCAGGGAATGGAAAAGCAGTATTGGCTCAGGATGGGACACAGTCCAGGCCCTACCCCTCACTGAGACCTGTCCTGGGAGAGGGGAAGCCACCTAGCAAACCACTGGCCTCACTTACCGTGGCCAGCTATCTGGATGTGCTCATCTGGCACTTCTATAGCACTGTTTCTATAGCCAAGAGGGTCCCAGATCCTTGGGGACAAGGCTGGAGGCCCACTTGGACCTCTTCAAAGGGACTTGAAAGCTAATTTGGCAGGGACGATCTAGATGCCTGGACAGCATCTCCTATGCCCAGAGAGGCAGCCAGTCTCACCTCTCCTCTGTCCCTTCTCAGCCTGCCCCTGCAGAGACTAAGCCTCTTTAGGCTACCAGTTGCTGGGCAAGGGGCCCAGCTGAGTTGCACAGTCAAGGATGGCACCAGTTCCTCCCATGCTAGAGGCCTTGATTCCAATGTCCTGGGACCCTCCTGGCTGGGAAGTGACCAGGGCATGCCTACCTGGCTAGCTGGCTACAAGAAAGTATCACTGATGGGTCTGGAATTAAGATTTTTAAATTCTTCCTATGTGGATGAGCTCTGTGACTTAGGAGGCCTCCAAGTCCTAGCAGACTGACTGCTCTAGCCTCTCATTTTCCACCTGAGACTGAGCAAGTTAGGTAAGAAGATTTCAGAGTCCCTTCTCAGCACTGCTGCCCAAAGATTCAGAGGCTTAGTAACATTTCAAGCTTCATACACCAGGACAGGGCAGAAAAAGAGGGGCTGGGGTAGAGACCATGAAGTGCTACCTAGTATCAAGTGGCTTAGCCCCTGGCTTATTTCCTCAACTTTCTTTGGCAAAACTTCTCCCAGCCCCAGTCCATGGATACATAGATTGTATATATGTTAAGGCTTAAATGAGTGGGAATGAAGTCTTTCCTGATATCAGCTGCTGTTGTCTCTAGGTGGTTAATGTTTCTCTGTTCTTTTGGGTTCAGTGGTTGTTTTTCCTAATTGAAAACTGCTCGCTGCTGCCTACAGAGTGAAGCAGGAGTCCTCTTAACCATGTTGCTTCCCAACTCTGAGTAACATAGGATTACAGACAGGTTGGATTTTCAAAAGTACAGTTTAGTCCTCAAAGCAGGACTCAAAGCCTTAATAATCTATGACTCATTCTTGTGCAAATCAACTCAGCACATCCAAGTTTCCTGCTCTGCATCAGGCAATGCCTGCCGAGTGAACTCCTAAATTCTTACAGCCCCGCCAACTAGAGGGGGCTCCTTAGCCCCAGTCTTCATGGTTGTTATGAGGCTATTCTTGCATTTGTGGAGTTTCTTAAATAGTTCTTTATGGAGAAAGCAGGTGGGTGGGAGACCAGTCCCCTCTGACAGCCAGAGAAGTAGGAACCAGGTGACCCTGTGACTCCAGAGCAGAAATACTGCTGGGGCTTAGGGGCAGCCAACAGGTCCTATTGTTGGTGGCCAGAATCTGCCCCAGAGGGCCACCACTCCACGAGGCCCTCAGCTCCAAACCTTAGAGGTCCCTATAGAAAGCCTGCTTGGGAGACCAGAGCTGCCCAACCAGGACCTCTTGCCAGGCTCTCCTACCAGGCTCTCCTGCCCCACTCCAGCTCAGACAGTCTTCTCTGGATCTTTGCAGCTGCTGCCAGGTCCGAAAGCACTGTGAGTGGTGCCGCGCTCTCGTCTGCAGGCATGAGAAGCCCAGCGCCCTCCTGAAGGGAAGAACCTCCTGCTGCCACTCAGAAACAGGTAAAGGACGGCATCAAGGTGGAAGGAGCCTTTTCTTCCTTGTGAGGCACTAGGCAGAAAAAATGACCCTCTCCTCCAAGACAGGGCCCAAGTTCCAGGACAGTGAGGCCAAAAGGAGGAGGAAAGGAGAGTTGTTTTATTCTACCGAGTTGAGTTTGGTTCATTATAAGGTGTGTTTGACTTAGAAAGGAACTGTTTTATCCGTGCTGGTGCCTATGTTACCTTTGACAAGTCACTTAACATCATACTGCCTCAGTTTTCTTTTTAAAAGACTGTGTTCAAATTAGATGAGTACTGACATAAAACACATAGCATAGTGCAGTAATGGCAAACATTTTAGAGCTCTCAATGGTAAGAAACAGCCCAGGGCAGCATGTGTGCCATAGGTTCACCACCACTGGTATACTGTGTACCAAACTGTAGTCACGTAACAGATATTCACTGTCTTCCCCTGAAGAAAAACGTGTCCACTTTCCATTGGTCAGTGGAGGATTTTGGCCTACTAAAGGTCTCTATGAATCCTCCAAACTTTTATGTCCAGTGATTTTCATTAAGTTTAACATTGTTTTATGAATTTCACCAATATCCTTGAAGAAGATGGCCATAGATGTGGGCCCAAACTGGCATCACTGGCTCTTGGGTCCTGGAGTTGAGTAATTCCTATATCTAAACCAGTCCTGAAAAATCTCATCCACATCAACAAGTTATCCTGGAATGTACTTTTGTCCAAGAGAGCCCATCATAACTTAATTTTCCTACTGAGGAAGTCCAGGATCAGGAGACAATCACCAAAGGCTAATCTACCTGGACTTTTCCTTCTCTAAGAAGCAGCTGGCAGTCCAGGAACTCCAGGTTGCATGGGCAGGGTGGGGAGAAATGTGACTGGGGGGCCAGACACCCCTGTATTCATTAATTATCATAGCAGTCTGGCTTGGAAGGAGATGGAGGTCTAACAGCACCGTTATTCATTTCAGTAATGACAGTAATTGTTTAAGAGCACTGCCTAGATTTAGGAGGCCCATACCTCCTAGGACATGCATCCATTAACCTTTATATGGGCCTTAAAGAGGAGGCTAATTCATGAATGTTGTGGGTAAACAGTCTCCTGAAGGATTAGGGCAGGCAGATGTTCAGGCTGAGCTGGACTCAGGAGCTGAGAACTGTCTATGCTGCTCTACCATGCACAGAGGAGCCCCTTGGGGCTCCCCTACTGAAAAATAATGGGTCCATTCTTATAATCGCTTTAGGGGAAGCCATGCTAGGACCAGGCCCTGAACCAGCTCCTGAGCTGCCCACCAAACCACCCTTTGCAGGGGCCCCAGCTACAGCGGGGTGTATCCACTGTCCCTATTCCCTTCTCCTCTGCTACAACCCATTTCACTTTTCATCAGCCTTCTGATGTCCTCTGGCACAGAAAGTCCAATTTCAGAAGTTTCTGCCCCTGAGGTTGAACCTGCCGAATTGGAACTTGGGTATAACTGCCCAAGAGAACCTGGTGATATTGACTGATGCCATCTCCAACTCTTTGTCATAATCTCTTTTTCGCTATGTGACAGGAGTCTAGCCCACAATGCCTAACCTGTTTTTCTTTCCTGCCAGTGGTCTGAAGAACCAGAAGAATTTGGCCAGGTAGACTGTGGCAACCAATGAAGAAAGGCCTTCTTTAGGACAGCACCTCCAGGGATGCCCAGGATGGGCTGGCAGACCATTCCTCAGTTGTCCACCTTCGCCTTGCAGCATTTTGTTTTCAGTGGGTCTTCACAACTTTGTCAGAACTTTGTCTGCTTGGGGTTATTTGGTGCGCCCTATAGAAGACGTCAGTGGACCACAATTTAAAGACTGGTGGAACAAGAATTGCAAAGGGGTGGCCTTCCTGTTTACCTACGTCAGTTTGTGTGGGTCAGGCAGTATTTGAGTCCGGGTGTGTGCCATTGTTTCCTGCCAGCCATGGATCCAGGCTGTATTTCTTCTTGATGGGCCACCTCCCCACAACAGAATCCTGCCTAACACCGGAGATTCTATATTTGTTGCTGTTTTATCTCATTTGTTTCTTGGTGTTGGAAGAAAAGAAAGAAAAATGGCTTATTGTTACATGAAGTCATCGAGTCTTCTGTCTTCTGACCATCACTGTCAACCAGTTTGACATCTTCCATGGACACATGATACTGAAGACTTTCTTAAGTTGTTGCCACCCTCAAGGACAATTTCTTATTTATTAGATGGATAATGGTTTTATTTTTAATCTTTTAAGTCAATGTATAAAGCACACCCCCCTTCAGACCTATACATTAATGATGTATGTATTGCTGGCTAAAAAGTTAGCAGATTAGAAACGACTGGCCTCTGTGACAGCTAAGACCAGAGGCTATGGAAATGGAACCAGAGGATGATTTGGATAGGAGCCAGGATCAGGGCTCAGAGGTCATGTCATCAAAAACACAAAGAGGTAAATGCCCTGATGCATTCTGCTAGAAAATTTAGTAGCTCCAGCAGCAGGGGTCTGGCCCCATGGGGGAGAGAGAACAAGAGTGCTCACATGTGTGGCACAGGTAAACATAACACATACTCTACTGCTTGGTAACTACATGGATTAACTTCCTTGTGAGCCCAGTGTGGGCATTAGCAACCACCCATGGGCATTTCAGGCCGAATCCATGAAAGGGGACCAATTCTTTATTTTCCATTTTGTTGCTTGGTCGGTTTATTGCTTTATTTTTAAAGAAGAAATTTAACTTTCCTATTTATTTTTAAGCATTAAGAGAAATCTTCCAGTGGGTTTTTCTCCTTTCTATTCAGCATGGCAGTTTTGTGAACAGAGATACTAACAAGCCTTTCACTTTCCCTTCCAGAGGAGTAGAAATTGTTCTCCTGAGTACTTGAGAACACTGGCCTGCTGGGCCAGCCTGGGTCCTTTCAATTGAACAGCTGGGAGTTCTTCCTTCAGAACTTTCATTAAAAGTTGGAAACAGAATGACAATGAAATAATATATAAAATACTCATGTGAAGAAACTACTCAGTAATATTTGAGAAAAAGACTGCCACCTTTTAGCACTTCAATGCATTTAACTTATCATGCCTTAAAAGGATCTTACATGTCATGTTGACTTTTACTGGAAAATTCTTCCCTAGTCTATTTCTATGAATTTCTATTTTTTACAGTCAAGGCCACATCAGCTGTGGTTTAACTTTGGCACTTATTTAATGATGCCACACCAGAATCATCAAATGCAAAAATTGGGTCTATTCAGACCCATCCCCTAACAATGCAGCAGTTTCTTAAACTATTAAAGAAAATAGGTGCACATTTAGATACCTTGGGTCAATCCTGTAACAACAGATACAAGAGCCAAGGGTTGGCTAAAGCCTCCTACTCAGACACCAATCAGTTGATGCTGGTTTTAGACCCTAGTATGTTCTAAACTTTCTTATCCGAGCCCCCAGAAGTCTCAGATTCTGGCTTAAAAAGATCAGTAAAAGTGGGGGAGCATTACTTGTTTTTAACTTGAGTTAACCATTTTTTTTCTTTAAGACAGTCTTTTTGTAGTTTAGACTCCCAGAGGTCTGATTGCTTTTAAAGAGTATGAATTGATGTGAAAATGTGTTACGGGCTTTCTTCACCTCATAGATAGAAGATCTGTGCCCACCTAAAAATGTTATCTGTAATTGGCATCCAAGAGACTGCAGAGGTACAAGAAAATGGAGATTGACAGATGGTAGAAGCAAAGGTTCCCGATGAGGACCTCAGATTTATTGTCTGTGAATTCTGTGGTTCTGGGGTCCAGCCAGTTATAGCCACTGGTGCCCCCTTCCTTGCGTCTGTACATCCATTAAACTCAAATGTGTGCCCCTCAGAAGCACCTTCCTTCTGGATCAGTCCTTTGTAAACCAGCAGGTCTGAGGCTGGGTTGAGGTGAGCTTGGTTGGACCATTATCCATGTCCAAGGATATAATAGCCTTACTTTTTTGGTAATTGCTCCTTTGGAAATCATATGAAGATAAGCACTGGATCCCTGTCCCATTTATTGACAGGGGTTGGTCTTTGAATAGCTATAAAAATGCTCTTTTTAGGCTTAAAGTTCATCTTGTAAGCCATCTCTGCAAAATCACTGTGTTTCCTTGACCTTCAGAAAACCAAATGTTTCCTATGATTAGGGAACTGTTCTGGAGGCCTGGCCTGCCAAGCAGCCACACATCTGACAGTGGGAAACATAATCATTTCCAGAATAAAGTGTCTCAGAAAAGATCACATTTTAAAAATGACTTTTTATAAAGACTTCAAAACCCTTTATGGGGTCTGAATTTCCCCCACTGCCCTACAGGTTGTGAAAAACACAACCTGTAAACACACTGGCAAGAAACTTTCTACATAGAATGATATACAGCACCCAAATCCAAACTGGAAGATAGGACCCAGCTAGATACATGTGAACCAAGAAAGAAATGGGTTGATTGTGTGTCTCGGCAGGAGAGGTGGGCACAGTGGCCCTAACATCCTTTCTCCTGAGCAAGGAGGAGGAACATTGGCACTCACCCATCACATTGATGAAGGAAGAGGATTTGTGGTTCTGGAACTTCTTAGGAAGAAATATTCTTTACAGGTATAGAAAACTGACTGATGTCTCCAAGCCAGTTTCTCAAGGCATATGAGCTACTGGTGTTTTTCCAGGCAATTTGGCAAGAATAGATGGTCTAACACTACTCAGGAGGCCCCAACTCTTTAGTAGGTTCTGGGCTTTCAGCTCTCCCAGCATGCCCAGACAAGAGGAGAGGAATGATTCAAAGTCCCAGGACCAGGGTACTTACAAAAACAACAAGTGTTTGTTTTCACTGTTTTAACATAAGATTTATTCTCTCTAGCCATGATCTTACCAGACCTTTTGAAAGACTTAGTGGTATACATGCACGCACACACACACACACACACACACAGTACTGAAAAGCAACCCCTCTTCCTACTGTAATAACTTACCAAAGTGTTCAACTTTTCATTACATTTATTATAACAAACCTGATGCTTTTTTTAGAACTCATTACCCTGACTTCTGTATATGTTGCACTGAGAAGGTTAATATTTAATGTCTTAATTTATTTTGTATGGTAAGTTAATTTTGATTTCTGTAATGTGTTAATGTGATTAGCAGCTATTTTCCTTAATATCTGAATTATACTTAAAAGATAGTGAGCAATATAAGATGCAGTTGTGTTTTTCAGGAATATACATTGCTGTTCAGTTGTACTGTACCTTGTTTGGAAGGATGAAGGAATTAATTCTTTTTTTTTCCTAAATCAAGACTGGGAGTTTTTCTTTAATTAGGTTATTGGTGACACAAATGAATTTTTTCTGTGAACATGAATTTGAGAAAAAAGTAGATGATCTTTTGCAAAATGTGAGAATCCTAAACTTAACCATACTTGGCCCCTGTCTGATTGAAAAAAATCAAAGTTCTCTGAAGTTCTTCCTACTATATAAGTATTTACTCTACTGTGGGTTCAATAATCCTGAGATGTAAGAAATAGATAACATACAATCCCTGCCCCAAATGAATTGAGATCTTGCTGGGAAGACAGAATGACATGCAGAAAATAATTCTTGACTGTTTTTCAGCAAAATTCAAATCATAAAATTTTAAAGTTGTGTGTGTTAATAGCTGTGGTTCTCAAAAGCATAGTCCCAAATAGGCAGCATTAGTATGACCTAGGAACTTGTTAGGAATACGATCCTTCAGGTTCCAGACCACACCTACTAAATTCTAAGGGTAGCCCTCCAAAGTGATTCTGACACATGCTGAGATTTGAGATCCACAGTGCTGTAGAACTTAGTGAAGGGATGAGTTTTGGTGTAGGGCTATGATTTTAGGAAAAGCTTTGTGGAGTCTTTGCAGAGAAAGTGAAACCGTTTATGCCTTGGGGTTCAAATGTAATAGCCATCAGAGAGTGATGGCTTCACTTATTTTGATCTTCTCTACACCGCCTAGGAAAAAAGATAGGTCTACCCAACTCCTGTCATATCCCCACCCACCCCTGATCCCCTCTGTCCAGTCTATAACTAACTGCAGGGCATTTCTCTAAACCTGTCAGCCCAGTTCCTGTAAGCCTATGGTAAATCCTCTATAATCCTCAGCCAGGTGTGGGTCTCACATATGCAACAGATTGAGCAGCTCATGTAAAAAAACAGGGTGAAACAGTTGCTAGAAGTAGTGTGAAATAGTGGTCCCCAAAGAAGAGTCAAGCTCTTTATAATGAGATATGAGCATGTGGAGCCCATTGTGCAGGCTCTAGATGGCTTAGAATCAGCCTAACCTGAAGAAAGATAAGAGAGCCCATGCAACTCTTTTTTTGAGAAAGAAAGAAACCTGCTAACCTTGTTTGATCTTCTCCCTTATGATCCTACTCAGTCTTCAAGGACACTGTAGAGCTTCTTTCTGACCTGTGGCATTCCTCACTGGTCCCCACCCCACTCTCATTTGCTCCAGTGCCCTGATTTCTAGGCCCCTGTCCTGCTGACTCCCCAGAACCTGTGCCCAGTGCCTGTCCTGGTCTTAGGTGGTGCACTGGACTATTTGAGGTGGGAAGCCCCTATTCCAGGAAAAAGCAACTGTGACCATTGAGTACCTTTGATCTTTGAACATTGAGGAAAGCCAGACCTTTCCTCAATTATCAAGTGGTTTGCAGTAGGTATCTTGAAGTCTTATGTTCTAGACTATTTGAGTCCAGCTTTTTTTTTGGATCTCATTGGCCCAAGCTTTAGGTCCCTATTTTTCCTGATCTCTATGCCCTGACTCCTGTGAGGCCGCATATTAGAACATATGGGTCTGACTGTAGCCTTGCCTCCTCTCTAGCACAGAGCTCCTTTCCCTACAGCCACCTGGAATTCCAGCGCCAGCACTCTTCCCCATCTCCTGAAACCCACATTTCTCCTAAAAGTCTCTTCTGCATTTGCTGTCTGAAGGACTTGCTACTCACAATAGGCCCGGACGTCTCTATCAGTCTTTCACCTCCAAAAATAGAAACTTGTGTTACTTGTTCATAGTCACAGACACTGGGTGTAATGATGCCTGTTCTGCTAGCATAGTCTGTCTGCTCAAGATCAGTGAGGCATTCAAATTCATGGGGGTGGACCTTGGGCACCTATAAATCGCTCCATGTGGTTCTAATCCAATCCCTGTTGCCAGGGAGCAGTGGCATGAGAGAGATGCGATGCTTGGAGTTCAGAGGGCCTGGTACCCACCCCAACCATCCCACCCTGGTCCAGACTTAGCATATTCTTTAATATCCACCGGAAATTATCCCCTTGGGAAACAGAGGCCCCACCTGCTTTCAAGTGAGTTGTCCAAGGAGAAAAGTGAGGAAACTCACAAGGTCCTATAAGGAGTGACACGTGGCTAGTGCTTGAGTCACACGCAAGTGAACCATTGCTTTGCACTTGGGCATTAAAAATATGTTGAATGTTTACAATGAAAGGAAAAGAGTTGGGGGGTGCTCTTCTCAAGGACATTGGTTGTTTCAGGCCTGATTTCCAGCTGCATAGGTGCTCTGGAACTGGAGGCGCTCTTACTGCTACAAAATCCTCCATTCCAAGATCCTCTAAGAGGGAGGGGAAATTGAGAGCCACACAAGAACCACCCCCACTGACCTGGAGCTGGGCCTTCAGCTATTGGTCTTCCTTGCACACTGCAGGGAAGGTGTCTGGGAATGTGGCATCCCAGGACAGTGCTAGAGAGGCCAGCATCACCG